GCAAGGGAGCGGGGCCAAACAGGGAGGGGGGGTTGTCCGGAAGGGCTGCGACGCCAGGCAAAGCCAGCCGCAAAGCCAGTAAAGCCAGCTGCCCAGTTTATCCAGTCCCAATAATAGTCCAGCTCGCTCACCCCCTCTCTGGAACGATGGCAATCAAACGAAGCCCCTAAAATCTCAGCAAGTCGAATAGGAATGCTGAAAACGCTGGAAGACGCCGCCGCTGCCGCCAGCGAAGCGCCGCCTCCCCCACTGCCGAACAGCACAGGCAGCACAGAAGTCTCCGAGCTTTGGATGGTCCGGGGTCACCTAGGAGTGGCGACCCCCTCAGAAGTCTGGATTCCTCGGGTCCCCTGAATTCCGGACATCCCCAGGGACCCCTTTCCGAGAGGTGCAGAGTTGTTTTCTAAAGATTTTTCAGCGTTTTTCGCCTGGTTGGTTCAGAGCGAAAACGCCTGGCAGCCATCTCTGATCTTGCACATGTGCATGTCAGTTAGGGTCCTAGGGGTTTGGGTGTTGTCTTTCCTATACACTTCCTTACTAGGTTCTTCTTTGGAACATTAACCTTCGATTAAATTGGAGCCATGCAGAGGAAGTAGAGGGGAGTGGCTTCAACTTTAACCTCAGTCTCTGGGCAGATTGGATGTGAGAATAACCCATCAGTGACTCATCCCACAGGACTTCGAGAAATGCAGTTCAGGTAAGACCAACTGACATTCTCTACAAAATTTATTTTTGTTTCTCTTTCACTATTTTAATCATACCAGGTTATAAAGACCAACAGCACTTTGATAGTGCTGCCTTGCTAGTTATGATTTATTAGTTTACTCTTATATCAAATCATAACCCTCTTCAAAACAGTTGTAGTTGATTGATGAAGACTTACAACACTTAATTTACTGTAGAATTATTCCAAGAATTATCTGTTTAATACATAAATCATTAAAGAATCCATAGTGTATAAATATCAAGGACGAAAATAATGGAAATTTAGAAGAAGGAATAGTAGACAAGAAAAACAGTTAAAGTTAGGCAACCGATTCAGTTATTGTTTCAGAGATGCTTCCTTATTTCAAAGACAAATAGAATGACAGAGTAAACAAAAAGCAGTGGTATCAGGAGCTACTTCTGAATTCTTGCTGATTTTCCCATTGAGTGTACTTGACTCTTGCCATCACATCCATCCGACCCACTAGAGCAAAGAGGCAAGAACTGTTTCAAGTCCTGTCCCCTAAGGAGGTGCATTTCCTGGGAAACGTCTTCTCCATGGTGGCTTCCTCCCTTGGAACAGCACTCTTCCAGAAATTATACTGGCTCCCATTCTAACACTCTTTAGGAAGGCTCTGAAGACATGATTCTACCAGGGGACCTCTGGAGTGCAGAGTGGAATGGAGCCCATTAAATGGCTGATATGAGTGTGTGTTGTCACTGGGATATGGGGTTGGGGGTTATTATTTTTTGTTATTTTGTTTTTTAATTTCATTAATATTGTATTTTTATTACCTGTAAGGTACCTTGAGTCACCATGAATGACTAGGTGACTTATAAATTTTCCAAAGTTAAAATAAATAAATGAATGAATTTCTTCCTACACTTGATCTATGAATGTGCAGGATTGAGAGAAGGCAGGTACAAAGCTACTTGTAAGTTGACAGCCTCAAACTCTCCTACTGACTTACACCAGCCAGCAGCTATTTAGCTCAATATGTGGAACAAAACAACACTGGAAACAACTTGTCTGCTTCTTGCTGTGCATTTTTTCAGCCTTCATGATTCTTGCTATGGATTTAAAACTTAACTCTACTGCTAGATTTGGACTCTGCTTTTCAGATTTGAGATTTTGCTTCTGGAAACTTGGCATTATTAATTGAACTCTGACCATGGACTTGTTTTGACTTTGAACCAGAGATGGGTTGTCAATTTTTTTACTACCAGTTTGGGCGTGCTTCTGCACACACTTGTGCATGTGTACAACAGTTCTGTGCATGCACAGAAGCTTATGTGCATGTGCAGACGTATCTGGGAGGGTGGGCAGAGCCTCCTGCCACTGCTATTATCGGTTTGCCCTATCCAGGCTGAACTGGCAGCAACCCAGTTTGAACTTGGCTGGGGACTTTATGGATTTGTTTCATATTACCAGACTGGACATTTGACTCATTGACTTTCTTTTGATTCCTGTGTGGGAGAAATCCTGGGGAATACTAATTGGGATAGACAAAGCCTCAATAAAGACATGAGGCCTTGTGTGTGCATGTGTGAATGGAAATGACACTATTATTAATTATTATTTTATTAATATTTTCTTTTTATTAATTGTTCCCTGCTATTTAGTTCTGGTTTAAAAATAATTATATAGCATTTGGGGAAATATATGCAAATCAACAATCCAGCACTAGACGCCAAAATAGAGAAAATCTCCACAGCCACCATGTATTTGCCTTTAGTGCTCAGATAGGATGGGACAAAAGAGAGCCACACAGAGCAGAAGATCAGCATGCTAAACGTGAGGCATTTGGCTTCATTGAAACTGCTGGGGAGATTCCTAGAGAAAAAAGCTACTGTGAAACTGGCAGCTGCCAGAAAACCCATGTAGCCCAGGACACAATAGAACATGGTAGATGAGCCTTCATTACACATTAGTATAATTTGCTCCATTTCTGAATGGGTGTCCATGTCAGGAAAAGGGGGGAATGTGAAGAGCCACACTGTACAGATGCCTGCTTGAAGTAGGGAACCAGAGAGGACAATGGATAATGCCACTCTTCTTCCCACCCAATTCCTCATTCTGGATCCTGGCTTAGTGGCCATGAAAGCCAAAACCACAGTGATGGTTTTTGCCAGCACAGAAGATACAGCCACTGAGAAGATGATGCCAAAGCTAATTTGTCGGAGGACACATATAATATTGCCTGGTACAACAAGGAATTGCAGTGAGCAAAGGAAGCAGAGGAGGAGGGAGATGAGTAGAATGTAGGTGAGATTTCGGTTATTAGCTTTGACGATGGGAGTATGGTGATACTTCAAAAATGTTGTGAACACCACAATTGTGCAAAGAGAAAAGAAAAGTACCATAATAGCTAAACCTATTCCCATTGGTTCTTCAAAGGACAAGAAACATATTTTCTTTGGAATACATGAAGTTTGGTTCTTATTTGGATATTGGTCTTCTGGGCATTTCAGACAGTCATCCATGTCTAGAATTTAAATAGATAAATTTATGTATGTGATACAGTTATGCTATTCTTGATATCATTTACAATATATTTTTTCTTTAAGCTGGATTTGATTGACTTCTTAGACTTTGTACTCTTATATTTGGTACCTAAGAGAACACAGAATAAGGAAAGGAATGTTACTTACTCATGACTTCATTTCATTATTTCTGTCATTGTCGCTATTTATTTGCAATGATTCAGAGTAATGATGATGAAAAAAGTATCTTTGCAACCAAGGTCCACATTTGCAACCTTTACAGCATTTCTTTTTGAGTTTTGGGTTTGCCATTATATCCTTTGATACATATTATCTTATGCCTGACCCATTTTTTCTTTCTCCCATCACAGAATAGAGTGATTGCCTGAATTAGTTTATTGGAACCCTCATTCTGGCATACTTAACTGCCAGACATTGAGAAGACCTAACTAATTTCATATTAAAGACTTATTATTTGTCTCTTGTGTGATTCGGTGGTCATTGTCATCATTGTGCTAGTCAAACAGCCAACACTACTATCTTCTTCTCAAAGTGTCTTCCCCATTTCATGCCTGCAATTCTCCTTCAATCACTTCATCTCTAGCGAATATAAATACAAATATCAATTTACTTCTTGCTAATTATCCAAGCTCTAGGATGAGTATTCCAAAGAGTGGGGGAGTGCAGGAAAAGCACTAAATGTAATCCTCATTTAATGACTGTCTTGTTAACAATTGTTTGGAGTTATGACATTAATGAAAAGGTAACTTTGTAATCAGTCCTCACATTTAATACTTTTAAAATCTGCAGAGAAAAGGAACTTATATCTTCATAGATTGTCCTACAGAACCATCAAATGGATTAACAATGTCTCTTACCTTTCTGACTTGACATTTTCTCTTTGGAACACTGAAGGCAATCATAGCAGCAAAATGGCTTTGCCTCCTGTTTTTTCCTGAAATAACCAGGATGGCAGCTCTCAGTACACACTGAAATAGGTAATGTCTGTCCAATAAATGAAAGAGGAAAAACATTAGCCTTACAGTATTTGAGGGAAAAGTTGAAAATTCACAATTGATCACTATTGTACAAATAAAGAAATCTAATCTAATATTTTGTGGGGTGTTTTTATCAACCATGATGAAAATTAATCAACATTGAGTAATTATTTTAGTTCTACTAATCATACAGTTAGCTTGTTTATTCTAAAATGACAAATACTAAATGAATGAATAAAAGCAGAAAAAAGTCCAAAGTTTTGGTGCACTGCTCTTTCATGGAAGATGAAATCATGGATGAGAAAAAATTATTACAGAAAGAGCTGGTCTTCAGGAGACAGCTCTATCTAATTCCAAATCAAAAACCAAAAGACTCATACATTTAAATTAAAAGTATAAAACCAAACCAATTAAAACATTAAAAATACTAAGAACCTTGTGCTAAAGCAAAGTTCTAAAGTACTCGTCTTATTCCAGTGCTTGGAGAAAAATCCAGGTATTCAGAGCTTTACGGGAGGATAAAAGGGTGGAGACCTGTCAACATTCAGGGGGCAGAGCATTCCATAGGGCAAGGGCTGCCATGGAAAAGGCATGGGTCCTAGCTTCCAGCCAATGACAACATTTATGGGAAGGGACTCTTTTTCCTCCTTTACTTTTCTATTTTTATTTTTATTTGTATTTTATATATTGATAAAACAATAAAAGTCATTAGAAGGGAAGGTGCTAAGAGCATGCCCAACCTATCTGACCTGGTAGGAGAGGTAGACATCTTTAGGCAAAGGCAGTCTTACAGATAGTTTGACCTTCTATCATATAGGGCTTTAAATGGGATCATCAGGACCATGAATTCCACCTGGAAAGAAACTGGAAGGCAGTGCAGCAGATACTTCCCTCCTGTCCAGGGTCAAACATGAAGAATCATCTGGACCAGGATGCCAGGATTGAGTTCCTGGCAGTTCTTCCCCACCAAAATCCTTAGCCAGCAGTGTCACCACATCACTGGTCTAGCTAGGTTTGGAGATATATAATTGGGTATATTACTGATAATACAATCCAAGTCCTGAAGCAAACCACACTGAAGGGACCTAGAGTTTGACTTCTCCTCTCCTACCAACATTGATTAGAAAGGGCCATGGAGGAGAACTATAATATCATAGTGCCTTCCACTCCCAATCTCTGAGTGATACCATGGTTGATGGTATTGATAGCCAGGGGTCAATAAGCCACAGAATGGTTGAACCACCTCCATCTTCAGCCCTTGCAAAATTATCTAACAGTAACCAATCCTGTTTTAGTAGAGTGTCCTGGCATGAAGTGAGACTGAATTCTGAATTCTTATTTTCAACAATGACTTAGACTAGCCCGCGATGTCTTATTTTGAATATTTTGAATAGTGTTGCCATTACCCACTTCTTACGACTCAGCAACAGTGATTGGTCCAAAGTCATCCAATTGGCTTCTTACTTAAGACATGACCATAGCTTTGTGGCTTGAGCACTACACTGAACTGTCTCTCAACTTTACAATATTTAGTGTACTTTGTACATCTTCCATGTCTTTTTAAGCTTGACAGCAACATATGCTTGAAAAAATAATACTAATTTAAGTAATTGAATATGTATCCCTGATTTTCAAAAAGTTTGAATTCTTCCGCTTTGTTGACAATTCCTCCCAGTATTTTATATTATTGTATGTTAAATGATATTAAGCTACTCTTCGGATAACATCCAAATCATTTAAACAAATTAACTAAATGCATGACTTACCTGGTTAAAAATGCTTGGCCAGGTGATATCTTCTTCATGAATGGTGAACTTTTGGTCTTCAGCAGCCCAGGGATCCAGCTTCCCAACTTTCACTCGATGCAAAGACTGGTTGGGGAAAATGACCCAGTTCTCCAAATCCAGTTCTGTAATCAATTCTTTATTCTCATCAAAGGAAATTTCATCACCAACACTGTTGTTAAATGAGATTCTTTTCAAAAAGAAATGAAGCTGAACATGAAACAAATATACAGTAAGAAAGCAAGGTTAATATATAGGACTATGTGATGTCATATCAGTATTTTTACCATTTCAATATATATCAGACTGTCCCTACACTAATGTGCTACTGTTCCTGTCAAGAATGATCATCTATAGTCCCTATTAAAATCACTTTCTTATACTCTAACTTTCAAAAATTAAAAATAATCCAGCCACCCTCCCCTAAAAAATCCCATACAAATATTAATATGCAAAATATAACTTATTTGGAAATATAAATATATTTGTTAAATATAATTTAACAAATAAATATAATCAATTATTGCTTATATTTACAAGAACCTTATGAAGCTTGTATTCTATTATTAAAGAGAAATTGACCACCAGATAATTTTAATATGTAAAATATTTCAAAATTAATCATCTGAAGAAAGAAATAGGCACAGCTTGAACTAACTTTTCAAAATGTAAAAGTTATATTTCAGTAATACTAAAATGTCTGCCATTGATGTATTTAATTCATGCATAAATAAAGAAAGATATTAGATGCCATGATGGAGAATGAAAGTTAAAGTGTGTTATTGATATACTGTATTTCTTCTAAATTGAAAATCAGTTTTAAATTTAGGTTATTGAATCTTTGGGGAATATGTGGGATTATTAGAAGAAGAAGTGAAAGGAGGCAAAAATGGATTCATTTAAATGGGATAGAGAATATATAAAAATCCTTAAATGGAGATCAAAAACAATCCACTCAATCAAATCAAGCATTATAAAAAAAGAAGGAAAATTTTAAACCATAGGTATAAACAAAAGTGAAAAAAGAAGAAGAAAGAATTAATCCATTCAGTTTAAAAAATAGGGAGCTCCTGCAAAAGTTCCATCCATGAAAAAAAATTAGAAACTAGATAACACACTAAGTTCAATGCAGATCAATCTCACTACCTACAGTCTTCTGTCTTCAATCTTAACTTAACTTAATTTTTTTTCTTGGGTAGTCTCTTCCTCTAATAATAAAATTTCCTCACCAATTTGACACACTTTTTCTTTCCGCTTTCTTCCTGTTCTGGAGCTGTCCCAACTTCAGCAGCTTCATTAGCTGTGTTTCTGTCGCCGGAAAAAAGGGCTATTCCTGGATCTTTCAGGGCCTTTGCAGTGTCCTTGAGATCAGCAGGAGGTGCCCTTCTCAATCACCTTTTCTGCAGGACAGTTTAGGTCCAAATGGACCATCCAGCGGCAGAAATTCGACTGCAATCTCAGATTATCAAGATCACACATCATGCCTTTACCCGTATAGAATTTATATGCGGAAGCAGGTAAAGACATTGTTTAAAATTTTAAAAATATGGAGAAGTTGATTTTAATGTTAGAGAGTATATTGACTTCTCTTTCTTGGGGGAGGGGGTTACCCCCCCTCCCTTTTTTTCTTTTTATTATTCTTTTCTTTTTTGTTCTTTATTTTTCATTATTTTTTATTATTTTGTAACTTCTAATCTA